TCAGGATGGTCACCGTGAATCCTGCAGAACTAGAACTAAACTACTGTGAACCAAATAATTAAACTGAGCGTGCACTGCAAATACCCATTCAAACAAGTGTTTTTCATTACCAAACTGTATGAATTAATGTAACTTATGCCAGCCCTTTCCATTTTTATTTTAAACATCTAAATGATTATACTATATGAGAATACATATGAGAATACCATAAAACCTCTAAACTTATTACAGAAGAAAGTGATATGAATGATTCATAATGTTAAATATAGAGAACATACAAATAAATTATTTATAAAATCAAAATTATTAAAATTAGGAGATTTAGTGAAATTACGGACACTATTAATTATGTTTAAGGCTAAAAATAATATTTTGCCCTTTAAGTTACAAAGAGTATTTTTAATGTGTTCAGGGGCAGAAGATAGTAGAAGGAAATTTTATTTTAAGCATCAGTTAGCTAGGACAACACAAAGATTAATGAGTACAACGGTTAGAATAGAATAGAATAGAATAGAATTCAACTTTATTGTCATTGCACATGCACAGGTACAGGGCAACGAAATGCAGTTTGCATCCATCCAGAAGTGCTTTAGCCATGATATAGATATATCACAATAAATATTAGCAATAATATAGATATGTAAATATATTACAGAAATGGGTCTATTATGGTATGTTATAATGTACACGGTATGAAGTATGTTGTGAATATTCTATAACTATAGGTATGTACAGGCTGTAGTGAGTACAAGCTATGTACAGGCTATGAACAGGATATAAATATGAAAAACTATACAGAATATGAAATAAATAACTTTACAGGGGTATACGACTGTGGAACTCTCTTCATTATAATTTAAAGAATTGTATAAGTTTGCATTGTTTTAAAAAGTGTTACATGCTTAAAACGATAACTCAATATGAAGAATGCGAATGAAATTGGAGTTCATTGAAAAAGGATCCTTTATAATTTTTTGTTTTATTTATTTTAATTTTATTTTTCTCCTTGTTACTATGTGGAGTGGTATATTCTGATTGTAAATTTGTTGTTTGGTTTGGGTTAGGACCGGAGAGAAATGTTAATATTAGTTTGTTCCCTGATTTTTGGTGCCCACTTATAATATAAGTTGGATTGTAGATAGGGGGCAGGGTTTAATAAGAACATTTTCTTCTTCCTGCTCCTTTTCACACATGGTTGTAGTGCTTTATTGATAGAAAGTGTGGTTGGTTTGTTTGATCTGTTGTACCAAGTGTGAAATAAATAAATAAATGAAATGAAATGAAATTATGAAGTATTTTTGTAAAAATAAATAAATAAATATAAATCGTTGTTTAATATGACTTGCCTGGAATGATTTTAAGAAATGTAGATCAGCACGAAGGAAATAATTGAATGTTGTGGCAGCTATGAAAGGAGAAGTTTGGGGCCTAAAAGGATTACGAGCTACACAGCCTGGAGGAAGTAAGCAGATACAGATGTCCTGAGCAAATGAGAACTACATTTCCTAAAAAACTTTAAAAAGCTCATTTCATGACATGTGGCTGGAGGCTGTAAAGATGAGAAGATACTGTATATTTGTTAGTTTTGGCCAGTGACTTGCCTCATAATACACTTCCAGCTATCTCACACCTCTTTGACTCATAAATTTATTCAGTGGGGAGGTGGCAAGGCTTTTCTGGTACCCAGCAGTGCATCCAGCATCTTAATGAGATAAACCAATAAGTCACATGGCATGCATAAAATTAGAGGCTGCCTGCATATGGGCGCACACAAACAGAACATCACAACCCAGTACACATCCATCCCGTACCTCCCATTGTTGTGCAGTCAGACAACAGGACGGGACTCCAGAAGTGGCCACAACCGGCTGACTTCTCCCCTGAGAGCCTGCGCGAGTCAGATTTGCAGCAGCTACCCTCCCTTCAAGAGTCCTTAGGGAGAAGGATCTCCAAGCTGCTGCGGGGCCATAGACGAAGCAGATGCCGACCACTCAAACTAATGGGAGGTCCGCGGCAGCCGGGGTGGGGGCTTACATAACTCTTCTTTGGTTCCCATGCCCTGTGGCACGTTCATGTCACACCCTCGCAAGTAATACAGATGACAACAGCAGTGAGGGTGCACTGTCCATCTGCTCCCCACACAAAGACACAGGCATCCTCCTGCAGCATCTGCAGGAGGATGCAGATACTGTATACGCTCAGAGTGCACACATTGCTGTCTCACCCAGAGGAACAACAGATAAGGTAATTGTCATGTCTGTGTGACACGAGGGTTGTAGGATGGACATATGATCTGATGTACAGGAACAGGTGTTCCACACATGCTTTGCTTCATGACATAAAACCACACAGAGCATCTGATACGTGCACAAAAACAAACAACTGCAGCTCTGATGTTTTGCATTATTTATGGGCTCTAACTTCTAACACACATCAGCAGAAGGATGGCTATTTTTTTTCAGTTAACCAGTTGAGGCACAGATATTTGATCATTTTCTCTGCCGTTTTGTATTCTCACATTGTGATCATCATGGTAAAAAACAAAAAAACCTGGAATCAAAATAATTGTTATATCAATGGGGATTTTTTGAAAGTATCAAGAAGTTAAACTGATTTCAAACTTTATTGTCTCGCCTTTTTGGGCAAATGAATTCGACCTAAAATAAAAGTTTATACAAAAAGAATAATTACAAAATTGTTAACAGCACCAGTCAAAATCAACACCCGCAGGTCAAATCTGGTCTCTACCCACAGTCCACAAACATGAGTGTTTGGTCCTGATGATTCTAAAGTTTAGGTAGCAAACGTGTACAGAACCAAGGATTTATATGGATTTGTACTTTTCAGTGATCAGTAAAATATATATAACATACAGGTGACTGCATTACACTGAGTCTGATCTCAAAGTGATGGGGCTGAAAGGACATTTCTATGTGCAGCCAGGTCCACAGCAGAAGTTTCCACTGAGCGGTACATGATGTTTTTCTCAATGTATCATAAATACATTGTTATTCTCACCATAAATGTGTTTATTTTTTGTGTTAGAAACAAAACAAAACAAACAGATGAAAAGTTTGTAATAAGGTGATAGCTGGCAATCAGGGCCAAGTCGGGAGAGCACATAGTGCCAACTTTAAAAACACCACAGATTACAAAAACGATAAACCTACAAAGCTCCTCCTCATGGGTACTCCTCAGTTAACTGAAACGAGATTTTTTCCCCCATAAAACTCAGATGGTTTAAGTTGATGGATGGATGCAACAGATAACAATTCAAACAGACAAGAAAGTTAAAGAAGACACAACAACTCCTCTCCTGTCCAAGCAGGATTTATTTGGCCTACAGGCATACCGTTACACCTGCCCAATCAAACTATCGCTAAATCGTGCTTTTTTCCAAGACTGTCGATATTTTAAAGGAGGACTTTTGTTGCGCTTTTAGAATCGCTGTTCTGGGCTTTGTTATTTAAAAGTTTGAAGAACTGACAAGCTACTCAGAAATCCGAAAAAACACAATGTATATGTTTCCTTTCCGTATTGTGCTCGTTATCTGCAGAGAAGCGTGCCAGGATATTCAGGGGGCCACTTCAGGCACGCGTTTCCCTTTCTCATTTTAATATCAATAGGTATCCACCCGTCACAGCACACATATACCAACTGACATGTCTGTAAAATGAAAAAAATAATGAACGTAGCTGAAATGCCTTGGGGTTACCATGGTGGAATCATGTGTCAGATTTTATATATTATATTATTTATTCAGTATTAATATTGTTAATTTGTGCTACAGTGACTCATCAATCCACTGTCGTGACAGTGATTTTGGAACTGAAGGGCTGGGATGAAGAATTGGTTAACTCACCTTCAAACAAGTATTTATATTAATAAACAGTCAAGCTGCCACATTTTTATTTTGTGCTTCTCTACAGCTTCGATAGCATTAACACTTACTTGAACTAAAACATTAACTGGCTACTAAAATGAATAACAACAAAGGTCGGTGGCAATGGTAGGATCAGTTCAAGGTCTAAAGCTAACAGTTTAGGTGTGTTTACTCTCCTGCGACAGGTGCGGGACTCGGCAATAGACCGGAGTTTTTTCTTAAATCAATAAGGGGTTAGTGGTTTGTGCGCGCCCGCGCAGTGGAAGAAGACGCTTTGAGGAGACAATAGCCGGGTTTGGAACCCCCCAAGGCGGATCATGTGCCGCTGATTATCATACAGCTGTTCGCATGAGGTTCAGACAAAGGCAACAGAGAGTCTCAACGACTCCCTGGTTACGCCTGCACACACATGCGCGCGCCTTCTTTCTTGTGACACAAGAGCACAACAGAAGTCTGAATGACCGCTACACACACAATGCGCGCTTATCCGGAACCTGCCCACTCTTTGTCACCTCACACGCGCCACAGCAATTAGAAGGTTGAATACTATTCTTTGCTCCCTTCTGATCTTTAGTGTATGTATAAAACACTTTCTAAACTATGATATACAGCTAGGAAAATGGCGAAGAGCCCACTGTCATGATTCATGTGGGAGGTCTTGAATGCTTTGGAGTGCGTTTGATTAAAACTGCAACAAAATTCTAAATACAGAAGAAAAAAATCCTTTCAGAGAGAAAAGAAGTTCTGATTTACAACTAACTCCAAACACGCTTCAACGCCCATCAATAAAAGTTGGATCGTTTGCTATCAAACTGACTTTATTGTCTATTTGTGACAATCTAGTCCCATCACCTGCATCGGCTTGCTTTTTTTCCTGGCTGATCAAGAATCGTACAAACTTGATAAACGTATCTTCATGTACCAGCTTCTAATGCATATTCCAAAGAACTTTGTCCAGATGTAACGAGTGTTCCCTAAATCCCTAAGCAGGCCCCTTATGTCTGGATGCAAATCTACTCCCCTGAGGTCTGCCACGGCTCCACCTCTTTGCCTGTGACGCGCAGATCAGAGGGTATAAAACCGCTCTGCGCCTTTACGCACCAGAACCCAAACAAGACGAGTGCCAATAAGAGGTGAGAGGACAAAGGAGAGGACTACCAAGAGGTCTCAGGATACCCTGAAAAGATAACAGACTTAAGAGTGATGAAAAATATTTGAGAGATTTCCCCTCCACTGTGACAGCATCCTGAAGTGATCTATCTGTCTGGCATTGTGACGCACGGCGAATGAGGAGTTCCAAACTTTAAACTTGGAAAAGCAAACTTCAGGAAAAATGGCACATTTGCATCTGAGATGCCTATTGGCTCTGGCCTTAGTGCACGTTGTAAGTTGTCTTCAGTTTATGCTCAAATAACACCCCGAAGACGTCTTTACGCCGTGGTATCTTATTTTATTTATTTCTCATTACAGGTTTTGTCCTCTGGTGTGTTTGAGCTGAAGATTCATTCCTTCCACACCGCGCAGCGGATCTGTCGAAGACACAGGGACTGTCACATTTTTTTCAGAATTTGCCTGAAACACCCGGAGGATGTCATCTCCGCAGAGCCGCCCTGCACCTTTGGTACTGGACAGACCAACGTCATCAGAGCCGATCACACCTCGATCTCCAGCAGCGCTCCCATCAGGGTGCCTTTCCACTTCAAGTGGCCGGTAAATAAATAAAAAAGAATATCAGTTACACAAACAGTGGTGCTGGAGTTCATATACCCGTTTAAAATATTCATAGTTTACGTCCGCTACACATCCCTGATCTCGAACTTACCAAGTACTGATGCGCTTTCCCCCTCCTGTTTTTAGGGAACATTTTCGTTGATCATTGAAGCCTGGAACGCTGAATCTCCCACTGAATACACAGGTAGGTTGTTTTAAATAACTGACCCTATTTAAGCCAAACCAACATATCTTGCGGAAGGGTATTTGTTTTACAACTTTCTGTAACCCTTGCAGACAACCAGAACAACCTCGTGAGCCGTTTGGCGACCAGAAGGAGACTTGCCATTGGAGAAGACTGGTCCCAGGACGTGCATTTTGGAGAACAGAGCGAGCTGCGCTACTCCTACCACGTCTTCTGTGACGAGTACTACTTTGGAGACGGCTGCGCTGACTATTGCAGGCCGAGGGATGACACGCTGGGCCACTACACCTGCGACGAGGAGGGCAACCGCATCTGCCTGGAGGGCTGGAAAGGAAACTACTGCTCTGAGCGTAAGCGTTCATGATTGATGACTTGAAGTGTCCATGAGCAAGACACTTGAGTTTGCCATACTCTTTTATGTTGCGGTGGCTTTATCATATAGTGTATAACAAATACGTCTACTTAAGTTAGTTCACCTATTTATACAATATAGCATCTTTTAAAACAAACTTACAACGCTGATAAAACGGAAATTCAAATTTCCTCACTATAGTTTGATCAAAAATGTTAAATAAATGTAGAGAAAACAATTAAATAGAATTAAATCAAATAAAAAATGTTCCTAAAAAATCAATAAAAACGTTAAATAAATGCACAAATATAAGAAATGTAAGGACTGAGATAGATAGACAGATAGATAGATAGATAGATAGATAGA